ACAACCACACTCGAGTCACTCAAACACTCTCAGTGTTTCCGAAGCCCCAATTACACCCAATAACGCACACAGTGTTTAGCTCCCAATTCCTCACGAAATAATCTCTAAATCTCGCAAAGGAATTATACACAAATCTTATCACAAGATTTAATTGTTACGAACACTTAAACTCTTGGTGTAATTTCACGAACAAAATCACGAATATTGCCCACCGCCAAGCACTCGCACACTAGTGGCGCTTCAAGAATAACTTCACGTATTCATCAACGACTGCGTAAATATATACTCAGGAAGAAAACGCGGCGGACTCAAAATTGGAAACCTGGATAATTCGGTCAACCAAGATTGGCTTGGACTTTCCCTCTGTTGACTGTGAATCCCACTAGAATTAGGAAAGAATACTTCTATTCTTTCTATTTTCTTTCTTTTATTTCTTGCCGACTCCAACAGAGGAAATAATTCTGTTTTTCGTTGATTTCTTTCTTCTTCTGACACATTGACCGAGTCATTGTGTAAATCAAAGTCCACTCGGACTTTCCAATTTGAAGCCACGGACTCCAACTCCAATCCGGAAACTCACGTCTCTTTTGCTTTGCTTGATTTCGGATGTCCGCAAAATATCCAATTTAAAATATTTAGATTTTCGCTTCGGGCTCAAACTCGAAACATATTTTCAACAATCTCCATCTTGGCTCGACGTTTGAGCCAAGTCACAATTGCTTTGATAGAATCCGAATTTCGCTACTACTCTCCCACAGCCCCCGATGGGCTCAACCGCCACAGATGTCTTTCAAGTCCAAGCCGTGCTTGAACTTCGCCATAACCGTGGACCTCATCAGAATACCAACTCCACATGCACCTTTAATCGCTCCACAAGGATTTTCCGATACAACTTCCTCAATCGCAGATAAAGCAAAACCATTGTTGCATCCATATCTATCGGGAGATTGAATACGCACCTTGTCAATTTCAGCAGTTACAGCAACTGTTGGCTCAATAGGCTCCACCTCGCTACAAGCACCATCCGTGTTGATTACTTCGTTAGAACCCGTTACCTCAGGAGTTTCTGGTTGCAACTCCACCTCAAGCTGAACACCGTCTAGATCCGTATAAACACTGCTATTAACACTCCTAGCCAGAAGTACTGGAGACTCGTCAAATGTAACTTCTTTGCTGATAATAGGTGAATTTAACTCCGGGCACCACAACTTATAGCCCCGCTCACCTTGTGCATAACCTAGGAACATGCGCTTTCTTGTCCTTCCATCGAGCTTACCATCACTAACTCGAACATAACATGGGCAATCAAATATTCTAAGAACAGAATAATCAGCAACGTTACCTGACCACACTTCTTCGGGAGTCCAACATTCAATCGCAGTCGATGGGGATCTATTCTTCAGGTAGCTCGCCGTACTAAGCATATCCGCCAGGAATTTCCTAGCCATACCAGCACTAGAGAGCATTTTATGGCCGTCTCTAGTAATGTTTTGCTCATCAACTCTACAACCTGTTGTGGTGCAATGGCACTAGTGCGGTGTTTCACTATGCCTTCCTTCATGCAGAATTCGTTTAACAGCTTCGAGCAAAACTCCATACTACTGTCAGTCCGCACTTGCTTGATCGTTTTACCAGTCTCCTTTTCGATCAAAGCTCTCAACTGCGTGATCCTGATAACAGCATCACACTTGTGCCTAAGCACAAACACCCAAGTCTTCCTCGAGTAGTCATCAACAACTGTTAGCATAAATCTAGCACTCTTCCTCGAAGGAAATCGCGACAACCTACGAACATCCAAGTGAATTAATTCTGCAATATCCGTGGTTTCTCTGACAACCGTACTAAACTGCACTTTCTGCCGTTGATCTAAATCACAGCACCTGCATACATTCAGTTCGTTAGCCACATAACCACATAGCAAATTCCTTTCACTTAGAACCTTCAGGCTTCTCTCGCGAATGTGCCCCAAACGCATATGCCACAATTCAGACTCTCGAACATATGCATCCGATGTCTCCACAGCGAATTCCGTCACTGTCTCACCTTGAAGCTCATACAGGCCACTATGCTTGATTCCTTTCATTATCACCATGGCACCTCGAAGAACTTTTAGAACTCCACATTATGAAGAATACCGATACCCAGCTGAATCTAGGGCACTCAAGGAAATCAGATTTTTCTTCAACTCTGGAACATGCCTCACTCCAGTCAATGTCCACACAATACCATCATGCATTCTGATTCTGACATTACCAACACCAATAACATCGCATTTAGCATTGTTCCCCAACTGCACTTTACTACTATCTGTGCACTGATAAGTAGTAAACCAGTTCCTGTTTGGTGTAGCGTGAAAAGAACAACCAGAATCCATAATCCATCCATCAAACGATGAATTATCAGTGACAGACAAGACATAATCAGCATTATCCGAATTACTGTATGCTATAGCAGCAACATCATCCGCAGACTCAACTCTAATTCCCTTACCCTTGTTGTTTTTCAGCTTAAGGCAATCCCTTCTAATGTGTCCCCTCTTGCCACAACTCCAACAGACAATACCACCAGTCCTAGACTGACTTCGTCTATTCGAGTGCATACTACTCCTGCTAACACGTGTACCAGTTCTTCCTCTATTTTCATCTACTAAAGCAGCATATACATGTTCGCCAGATTCTCTTCTACGGATGTCTTCACTCAGAATTAAATCTCGAACACCATCAAACGTCAAACTTGTCGACCCAGAGGAATTACTAACAGCAGTAACAGTAGTATTCGAACTATCAGGCAACGAGGATAATAGAATCAAAGCACGTACCTCATCTTCAAAGTCAATCTCAACTGAACTCAATTGACTAACGATCACATTGAATTCATTAATATGATCAGCAACTGACGCACCTTCGCTCATCTTCAAATTAAACAGACGTCGCATCAAATAGACTTTGTTGATTGCAGAGGGCTTCTTGTACATGTCCGACATGGCTTTCATCAAACCCACAGTGGTCTTCTCATTCACGATGTTAAACGCGACGTTACAAGCCAACGTCAGCCGAATAACACCCAAAGCTCGTCTATCCAACAATTCTCAATCAGCTTGCTTCATCGTCTCTGGCTTCTCCCCAGACAAGGGCAAGTGCAATTTCATCTGATATAGATGATCCTCAATCTGCATATTTCAGAAACCAAAGTCTTTCCCATCAAATCTGTTGATTCTCACTTTTCCTTTTTCTGCCGCCATCGATTCACTTCAACTTAAGCAAGTCTAGCTCTGATACCAATTGTTGCGGAAACCAAGCGATCGAACAATAAAATTGACAGAATAAGAAAATAAATCGGACACCAGATTTACGTGGTTCGGTCGTAGTGACCTATGTCCACGGGGAGAGCAGTACGGAATTTCACTATAGATCAAGCGATACAACGGAGATTACAACCACACTCGAGTCACTCAAACACTCTCAGTGTTTCCGAAGCCCCAATTACACCCAATAACGCACACAGTGTTTAGCTCCCAATTCCTCACGAAATAATCTCTCAATCTCGCAAAGGAATTATACACAAATTTTATCACAAGATTTAATCGCTACGAACACTTAAACTCTTGGTATAATTCCACGAACAAAACCACGAATATTGCCCACCGCCAAGCACTCGCACACTAGTGGCGCTTCAAGAATAACTTCACGTATTCATCAACAACTGCATAAATATATACTCAGGAAGAAAACGCGGCGGACTCAAAATTGGAAACCTGGATAATTCGGTCAACCAAGATTGGCTTGGACTTTCCCTCTGTTGATTGTGAATCCCACTAGAATTAGGAAAGAATACTTCTATTCTTTCTATTTTCTTTCTTTTATTTCTTGCCGACTCCAACAGAGGAAATAATTCTGTTTTTCGTTGATTTCTTTCTTCTTCTGACACATTGACCGAGTCATTGTGTAAATCAAAGTCCACTCGGACTTTCCAATTTGAAGCCACGGACTCCAACTCCAATCCGGAAACTCACGTCTCTTTTGCTTTGCTTGATTTCGGATGTCCGCAAAATATCCAATTTAAAATATTTAGATTTTCGCTTCGGGCTCAAACTCGAGACATATTTTCAACAATTGGTTTCTTAAAATATTTTTTTATTGATGAACAAATCGATTATATGTACCTATCTTAATATTCTTGATATTACTCTAAACTTATTAGGTCAATCACCCATTTCCCTAAGATGGTGAAATTGTAGTTAAATTTCACGTTCATATCACATGCTTCCTCGGTGCTTGCCTCATCATTATAGGTTACCAAACAACGTGAAGAGAGGGAATGGGAATCCTTGAGTTCATTCAATACCATCAAACAGGCCAGAGAGAAAAATAGAATACGGGTTCACTCAACCCATCGGTTGAGATGAGATGAGATGACACTCCAATGGCTCTGTCACGTCCTCCCGATGGCCCTAACTCCTTCACCCATGGGGGTCGGCCCAACCACCCATGGTGGGTGGGGCTTTGTTTATTCGGCCCAGTCCCCAGCAAGAGTGCTGGTCGACGTAGCCCCCCGTCAACATCCAAAGTATCAAATGAGATAAGCTCACATAAAAGTAGTATCATATACAGCCGACCAAGTTAGTCCAAAAAAAGACATGTCGATAAGTTTTTCATACGGAAAAAGAATTTCTTTGAAGTGATTTTTTTTTGTAATATTTATTTCTCCTAAATTTTGCCATGTCCTTTAATCTTTTTTAATGAATTTTTTAATTTTTCAAGATATTTAAAGATTTTAAAATTTAAGTAGTCTTTTAAATTTCCGGCATAAGATGTTATGGTGTGGCGTGGTCTGTTCATCATATTTGCCCGAGAAGGATAGCTGCCGTCTGGGCGTTGCCTGGGATACTGCCAAGAGTGCCATATGCCACTCCAAAAATCCATAAAGTTGCGATCTAATTATTCCTGAGTCTGACTCTCTTAGTTTGTTGGAAACGATGACGAGAATATTGTCTTTCTTTTGGCTCCTTTAGGATGTCATTGACAGATTTTCCAGACCCTGAATTCCTACCATCAACTAGGAACCTAAACGACGAACTAAGCTTCGTACGACTCATTTTGATTAGAATTCCCAGCTCCTGAAGCGAAACGGTATCCTTCCCTGCTATTAAACGAAGTCCTCCTCCGTACCTCCTCCCAATAGCCTCTCTCTCTCTCTCTCTCTCTCTCTCTCTCTCTTTCTGCGCAAGCTCTCTTTGTTCAGAAGGGACACGTCAAGTCTGAAGCAGAGGGGAAAAGTGAATACGTGAGTAGCTACCACTAATTCCTAATATGTTTTCTGTAGAGAATTTGTTAAGGAGAGCCCCTGCAAGTCTTCGCTTAAGAGAAGATAACAAATCTAAGCATATTATATGTTCCAGTTTTTTTCTTGATTAAAACTTTCTTTGCAAAGTATGTTATGGTTGTGGTTAAGGAGCGGAGTTTTATCCTGAATTAGGCTCAAAACACATGTTCAATTTCCCCGCTGCCAAGTACAAGCAATTCTGGGTTCGGGCCGCTTATCCGAGTTTTAGCTCACATTTTACTTGGCACATGAATTTAAAGAAAGCATTAACAAGTGTTTTTAAGACACTTATTAGTTGTTAACATGGCTATTTCCAGATTTATCTTAGTAAAGGGCAACGCAATTACATTTATGGTGAGGCCACTAAGAACAATTGAATTCAACTTAACCATGCTCGCTTTTCTTAGGCCATGTAGATGTATAATTGTTTAATGCACGAGGGAACTAGGAATACTCAATTTGATTACAGTAGGGCAGCCTTGTATAACATGACCTAAACAAAGGTCATGTTAATCATTTCCCATGAATAAATACCTTCTTATTCGCATTCTGTAGAAGCAAAAGGTGTATGATTCTGCATGATTTTACACTGTGACCTGAAGAATGTGACAGATAGTCGAACTCGTCCCTTTAATCCCACCATGATCGGCATTCTGCCAACTAGAATAACCTTTTTGGAGAGAAAATATAAGTTCTTGGATGGACTTGAGTTAACTCTAGACTTTTGTTCACCTGAGTGTGCGCACAGTAGAGATAGCATGAAAATAGGAAAGATTGAATGGGCTATTTTCGCAGCTGCAGAGAAGCAGAGAGAAATGGAGGCCATTACTGGAGAAGTGAGAAGAATTAAAGTCCTTTACTTCCTCAGGCATGGCCGTGGGACTGGGGACGGGGTTGAGCAGCCTCACCTGTTCTGTGCCTATCACAGCAGCAGCAATGACCTTCTTTTAAAAGGTTCATCATGGCTTCCAATCCCTTTTTCGGGGTCGTCTACTACTACTAGCAATTGTACTACGTATTTAGCGTTCACATACTTGCAGTAACCTTCTTTTCCCTTTTTTTTTTCTCCTCGATGAAGATATTAAGAGGTGGCTTGCGGATTTGAGAGGAAGCCACTTGACCGAGGCCTTATCTTGGTCCTACAAAAGGTTCACATGCACTTACTGGCCAGACTGACTATCTATTTTCTTCGTGAAAAATTTGGGGGATAACCCGTCTGAAGAATCAAGACTGCTGACTATAATTGGTTTGGCTGAAAATGCAGGAGGTGCAAGACGGGATACATTTGGCAAGAGGTAGTGGATGACGATCTTGTGATGCCTACCTCTCGTAATAAGTATGTCCTCCAAGGATGTGAAAAAGTTGCCCTCCCTTCATCCGGTACCCCACTCACTTTCATGTTCTTTCCAGTATCAGTTTATCATTCCTCGATCACTACTAGCAAGTGACATGTAGACATAATTAAAAAGTGCAATTTTTAGATCATTTTCAGTTTCACCTTCCATTACTCTCTCTAAACATTCTATTCCGATGTTCCTTCTGTTTTATGTACTAAACGTATGAGTTTTTCTTAAAACAGAGTCTTGTGCATACAACGATGAAGCATCCGCTGGTAATAAGGTATCCAGTTCCAGAGAAGAAATCAGAGACAAGTACCCGCATTCCTCGCAGACAGAATCACCGACATTCCTACAACATTATTTTATCCTCAGCTCAGACACATCAACGTTCACCATCAAATCAGGGCATCTTGAGGATGATGAGGAGCATTTTGGTATGAGTGAACCCGACAACCATAGTCACTGTCATACTTCTTTCAAAAACATGGAGAAATGTGAGAGAATCCGAGGAGGGATGGCTAAAACACCTGTTTCTACCTTGTCATTCGTTCAACCTCCATTAACAGAGAGTAAAAGGCGTTTTAGTGGAGCATCCCACAAGTTCAGGAATCTAATTACGTGTGGTGCTACGGATACGAATGACGCAGTCTTGGTGATGATTGATCGGGTTGAAATGAAGATTAGTTTAAGGCAGGATTTTAACATCGAAAGGTCATCTCAGATATGTAGGGTAGATAGATTAGGAGGGTCTCGTAGGACCTCAAATACTTCTTGGAGTACTGGGAAAGGGCGACAGGAACCACATTGCCATCCAAGGTAATGTCCGCATATCTACTCTCTCTGCCTGACTGCATGACATGCACTTATGCACGTCTTTGCTTGCAAAAGCCCGTTTGTTCATATAAAGGAAATCAGAAATAGCTGCACTGCTGCAGGAAAAGCTTTGATGGGGTCAAGGGCTGGAAAAGAAGCAAGAAGCAGAAGAATGCTTGTGAGGGAGACGGAATTCTGGATGCTTATAAGCCCACTTCAATGCCTAGTTGCTCGTAAGCGATTCGTTCATTTCATCATCCCTTGTTATTTGGTACCAGATAAAATTAGTTTTCTCGGGAGATAGAGTCAGGTTACCTTTTTTGGTCTAATTATTACGTTTCTTGAGGAGCAGAAATCCACAATTACTTCTATCTAAGATTAAGAGTGCTTATCCTTTGATTCGCATTTGGTCTTATGACTGATCAAGGGGCAGCGTTCAATTTTACTCTAAATCAAAGTCCTAAAGAGAAACCCTGCACTTTCATTCTTTGAACAAGTCTCTCTCCTGTTACCTTTTCCTCCTATCCAATTTGGTTGAAGTGCCAAAGAGGGATCACGGTTCTGCAAATCAACAGTGAGTCAATGCATTGCATGCCTAAATGGAGCAACTAGGCTCGAGTTTTACATGCTGATTTTCTCCTAGTTTGATTTTCTTGAAGAAGTTCAGAACATTGGTAAAAAGCGACGTGGAAATAGGACGGCAGTCACTGAACAATTTCTCATATTTATATTTCTAATCATAACTCCGATTCATTTTTAATTGAGTTACTCACTCTCACAGACAGTTTGCTCTTATTTTTCCGACTCATCGGACACTCATTCATTGACATACAACTAAGGGACTCTCTTGCATTCACGCTACATACCCACACAGACTACTATGATCACTCATGCTTGTGCCCACAAAAGTTTACACCTCAACCTATTCATAGGCCGTGGAGGTCGACATGATTACCTGACTTTGTGCAAATATCCAACATTCTGGATGGCCAATAAGGCCAATAGATATTGAAGTAGAAAATTTTGAATGGTGCTCGAGAATTGTTGAGATAGGGGCAATGGTGATCGTTCAACATCCGACACAAACATTAATGTCGGCAAAATGTAGGGGAATCATGTGGAAGTTTGTACTCTTCCAGCTGTGTTTTGTTGATAGAGTCAGATGTGCTAAGTCTTGGATGAGGAACTTAGTGTTGAATACTTAATACATGACTTGGCATATGCAGGCAATGTGGAAAGCCATTTAAGCCTGAGAAAATGCACAAGCATATGAAATCTTGCAAAGGAAAGAGGGTTTTATCAAGAGAGAGCAATAGTTAAGGCGCCATGCTTGCATTATGAAAATGCAACTCTCAGATCGAGGATCCATCTCCAGGCTGCTGCCTACATTGGCCTTCAGAAGATCAATCTATATTATGTTCAACTTGCGTACAAGTCAACTTCATAGGTGGATAATTCGTTGACTAAAATACTCTCACCTCTAAATTAATCCCTTATACATGTGAGTATGAATCATCTAAAATTTCATTCGACCCAAACGAGACTTTTGACAGGAATATAGAGAATATTGCAAAGGTTCACAACCTTTTGCATAATCAATGCAATCTTGTGCTGGCCAAAAATATCCACGGTGGCACAACAACCGGTTCATTTTTATTTCAGCTTGATGTACGCCACATATTTCTTCATGTACTTCTGCCATGGCCAACATTGATATGTTTTTACTTAAGCACATGAGTTCCCATCAACAGTTCTTCTGTATAACTCGTCACCAAGTAGTAAGTATTTCGTTGCTTGTCTTTTCAAATTTTTATCTTTGGCAATTGGGTTCTTCAAATAATCAGCAAATGGTTTTGTCCAATCCCCTTGGTCTTTATCGACAACTTAATCCCCGACTGAATTGGCATATAACATCATCACTCGGTTTTCCATCGATGGCAATATTTTTACTTTATTAACGATGAATTTTCCCAATTCCTTTGCTATTCTATACTCATACGGCATTTGAGTTACCTTATTGGCTTTCGACCTTTCATCTATTTTGATATGGACCAATTCGTAATCGGAGAAATTATTTAGTAGTTCTTTCGCCAATGTATGATGTCGAATAATGTTCTTATTAAGGCATTGATATTCTTTAGTTAATTGTTTAATCACTAACTGAGAGTCTTCTATTTTTACAAATCACGCATTTATGTTAGCGAAGATGTTTAGGCCGATTATCAATGCCTCATACTCTGCTTGATTGTTTGAGCAATCAAAATCAAGTTTGAACATGAATTTTATCCTATGTCCCTACGGGAACACTATGAGTATTCCTATACCTGAGGCATTATTTGCACAGGATTCATCGAAATATAGAGTCAATGGCATCGCTTGTACTAAATTTTCATCTTTTTCTCCTTTAGTGTGCACACATGTGTCGCGACCTAAAAAAAAATCGGATTTTCGATCTTAGGCTAATGGATTACTAGATCAATTAAATTAACTAACCTAGCTCGAGTTCTCCCAAACTCTACCAAATCGCAACTTAGGTCCAATTGTGAGCATGCAAATATTTTCAATGGGAGTCGCCACTAATCATTTAAGGTAGGTTGATTAGAAACCTAAATAAAATAGCGAGAGTACTATTTTATTTCTGCGAACCAGAAATTATAAATTCGGGGACTTGATTACGCTAGATTCCCTAACGCCTTTTCGGTACCAATTTCAAGAGAAATACTCAATTGGACAATTTTGATAAATCCTGACTTAGAGTTCAAAGGTGCAGAAATTTTCTTTTTTGATTTTTTATTTATTTAAATGAAAGCTAACCTATATGTAATGATGTGCAAAAATTGACATATGATTAATGCAACCTAATATGCAAACTATATGTCATGCGACGACGTGATCTATTTCTAATGACGGGCATATTATTTTTTTTTTGTATTTTTTCTTTAATGAAATTCGGAATTAAAAATGCCAATTATCTAAACATGCAATTTTAAAATAAAGAAATTAACTTATTCTAGAGTAATCTTTTTGGCATTTTTTTTATCAAAATTCGAAATTAAAATCAAGTAAAAAATATAACCGCTAAATCTTTCGAATTAAGTTTCGATCTGAAGCATGACAGATCGATCCTAAAATTCGAAATACCCGCTATGGAAATAACTCTATCTAAAGCCTGATAGATAGATTTATTTCCACGTGTGCGGTTGCGGATTAGGAAATTTTCCTAATCGATCACATCTTGAAAAAAATTAGATATCTTAAATATCTTGGATATATTCAAAAGATTTTGAAAATTCTAAATTCTATCCAAATTTGAAAAGTAATAGATATCCAAGATTTCAAAAAAGGAAATAAAATCCTAATTGAAATAATGCTTATTATCCAAATATGCAAAATTAGATATCAATAAGCACAAATTAGGCAACCAAATATTCGAATCAAATCGGGATATGATAATTACCTGATTTGCAGATTTCTTTCCTAATTTGAATCTGTAGCGGATCGGGATTGCGGATCGGCGGTGCGTCGGGAGTGGCGGCGTGACGTCAGGAACAGTGGCGGCTAGCGACGGTGACACGATAGGAACGGCGGCGCGGCGGGGCGTCCCGGCAGGCCGGGCCCAATGTGGGGACGGGCGACTCTTCCGCGGCCGTGCAAGCCGAACAATGGCAGCAGACAAAGCGGTGGGCTAATGGCGGTGCAGGCGGCTTCGGCTAGCGAGCGGCGGTGCACGGCAGCTCTGGCTGGCGAGCGGCGGTGCAGGGCAGCTCTCCGGCGGCTGTGCAGCGAGCAGCGGCGACACAGACGGGCGGAGCAGGGACGTCCAGGCGGCGGTGGCACCGCGCGGCGGTGGTGTGCGACGAGGGCAAGGGCAGTGTGCGTGCAATGCGGTGGCACACGGCGAGAGACGGCGCCAGCACGGCAGAGGCAGCCGGCGCGCGGCGGTGGCACGCAGCGGGCCGAGGGGCGGAGCAGCTCCGGCGTAGTGCGGCAGGCGGTGGCGCGACAGGCATGCAGTGCGGCGCGGCGGGCGGTCTCCTTCTCTCTCTCTCTCACTCTTCTCAAAATTCTCTCGTATGTCTCTCTAAAAATCCGATCTGAAAAATTATGAGAGCCCTCCCCCTTGATTATGAGACATAAACATATATTTATAATGTAAACCTAGGTCAATTAGCCGGGCTTTCTAGTCCTAATGGGCTTAGGTTTAGGCTTTAATTTAATTCTAAGTGGGCTGAATTAATTTGGGCTTTTCTTTAATTAAGCATAATGGGCTAATTTAAGCTCAAATTAAGACAACCAAGCCCTTTTGTGTGTGATTTTCGGCTCATGCTTTCCGAGTGAGCCGAGTCTCATTCGGTGCCCGAGCTCGATTTACGTGATGAATTTTAAGCTTGCTTACCACCGCCGATCCGATGCGAAATGCAGTTAATCTATATGAACCTAAACTTTATGCTATGCGATTTGTAATATTTTTGTTCAGGGATTAAATTTTAATCCCTAATTTTCTATGCAATTAATTACTAAATGATGCGCCGAAATTTAGGTGTCAATAGCTGCCCCTCTTTGAGTGGAGGCTCGCAGAGGTTTCGCTCAAAGACTGAGACTTAAATTTAAACTATGCAAAATGATGAATGATGATTTTTTTTAATGCAATGATGCATGATATGCAAACAATAAAGAACGTATGCTAAGGCTTCTCACTTCGTGTAGAGCGGTGAAAGAGCCTTACATACGGATCGCACAAAAAGCGTCTAAGTGAAGGAAAGCTTTATAATGCTTTGACTTCCCTCGATCTCCAAACTTCTGGTCCACTGGAAGTAAGGTTCTCGAGGTACTGGATTGCCTATCTGTTACCTGTAGTTTCCTACAGATGCGAAATAGCGCATGATATAAAGAAAAGAATGGGATGTGTTGCCCATACCACTGGGCAATCACGAAAAGGATCATGTCACCTCTTCCATTGGATGAACATGAAATGGGGTGTGCCGCGTACTCCACTTATCAACACCAAATGAGAAATTATGCTGCCTGTACTACTGGGCAAACATGAAATGGGGTGTGCCGCGTACTCCACTTAGCAACACCAAATGAGATATTATGCCGCCCGTCCTATCGGGCGAACATAAAATGGGGTGTGCCGCGTACCCACTTGGCAACACCAAATGATATGTCACCTGTTCCACTTGGCGAACATATGAAAGAGATCATGTCTCACATTCTGGGAAAAGAGAAACAATGAAGAATAATTAGTAGACGTACCTGATTTCTTCTTGTGTTATAAAAATGGCAAAGCCAATTGCATTGCACCTGTTTTTACCTGAGAAAAGGCTAAAACAACACATGCGCAGGGGCATAGAAAACATAATTCATGAATCTGCTTGCATTACCAAGCTTTACTGGGGAATTTATCAATAAGAACAACTATTTCGTCCTTTTGACAATTTGATCACATTAAATGAGAAACCTTTAATCATAAAGGACTTTCTACTCACTTTCAATAAAAGGCTTTTGACCCGACCTTTGATGCGGGTATAAGAATCACTCAAACTCTCTTCATCGTGCTTGACAAGGGTTCGGATATTCTCAAAATCAGTATGACTTGACCAATCTGAGAGGTCTTTATAAGGACTAAAACGTGGGTTTGGTCAATGGCTTAGCAAAAGGGACTCTTCGAGTCAAGGCTATTGAAAGAATTGATATCACCAGCTGCTCCGGGTTTACAAGTCAGGAATGCTGCAAAAATGAGATAGAAAAATCTTGCTCGCACTTCTTCGAGCAACATTTATAAGCATTTGAAACTCTACGTTAACTCAAGTGCCCTATTCTGAAGAGACTTCGGTAAGGGTTGTAACGTAGGTTCGGGTAGGCTTGAAATGAATGGCTTATTTCATCAAAGGGGGGTATTATGAACATGGAGATTGGTGATCATCCAATTATGCTACTGGTACCATTGACCTATCTCTAGCAATTGCTCCACAAATGAACCTTCAAACGGTCTTTTCCTTGAAGACTGATCTTGTATGTCGACTCAGTTCTTGCTGAAGCTTTTCTTTCCCTCCTTTTTTTCTCTCTCTCTTTTTTTTTAGAGAGATTTTCTTTTCGAGAGATTTTTCCGAGAGAGAGAACTTCAATTTAATGGAGTCCTTTTGCGTCCTTTCTGATGAATTTTCTTTCTAACTCCCATTTGCCTCAAGTCACCTTGAACTTGCTTTGAGATGATTTCATTTGTTTATCACTGAATCGATCACCAATCGGGTTGAAATGAATTCACCGCTCAAATTGGGTATGCAAAGGGTATAATGTGTAGGGATATAGAAAGAAATGCTCTTCGTCATATCTAAGGCACTCGAGCTAACACAGAACTTGCATGCAATAAATATACTTAAAGATTGATGCAAGTGAAAGCAAGAAAATTCTAACCATTTTGAACTTTTTAAGAAATTGCCCCGGTATGGGGTTGTTCCTGACAGGGGTAAGAAATGAAACTTCGTTCAAAGGGGTTAAGCAAATGATAACCTGTAGTGTTTAGATAGAGGAAATGAATGCCTTTCATCATTTTGGTCGTCATACTTTTCGTGAGATAATCCTTTACCTTGTCAGCACGGAATTTTCACTCAACTCGCACTAGGGATTATTATTCAGAACATGTATGGAAATGTCTTGCCTTTCGTCATCTTGAAGTCTCTCATGCAATATGATCGCTTCATTAGGACAGAAACAGATTGCTAAATCAAAAGCCTTCC